GAGCCCCTCCTGGAAGGGTGCTGCTTCTGAACTATATTGGAGGAGCTACAAATACTGGGATTACGTCTAAGGTATCCCATTTATCCATTTTCTCTTGTTAAAACTATTTGTTGGAAGATTGCACCTTTATTCACTAGGTTCTCCTCGAAACTAAAAGGGGAAAAATGAAGATAAAAGTGATACAATGGTTATCCAGCTATTGATTTATGCGCTTTAACTCGTCGTGACTTATTTAACTTACATATGAACTGTTTCCCTTTTTCTTTTTCTTTTTTTTTTCTTTTCTTTTTGTTGTTGTTGTTGTTGTTGTTGTTGCATTCATGAGAATGCTTGGAAAGATCTTGGTAATCATATTCAATACTCAAGAGGCCAAATTTTCTTACGCCGAAAATGGAAAGAAGAAACTGACAATTCTCACAGACACTTGTTGTTTCTTCTCATCGCATACATGTCCTGGTTTTCATCAGTTTGCAAATGGGCTAATTTTGTGATGTTCTTTTATAACTTTTAGCCATCTTTTTTTTTGTGTGTGGATAAAATCTGGTGATTATTTGCGCAGACGGAGGCAGATCTTGTTAAAGCAGTTGACCGCGATCTTAGAAAAATGCTTATAAATCCTAATGCTGAGGACCCTCATGTTCTTGGGGTAAGGGTATGGCCACAAGCCATACCCCAGTTCTTGGTGGGTCATCTAGATCAATTGGAAGCTGCAAAATCTTCCTTACGCAAAGGTGGATTTGAAGGATTGTTTCTTGGAGGTAATTATGTGGCCGGTGTGGCCTTGGGGCGATGCGTAGAGGGTGCTTATGAAAGTGCTTCTGAGGTATCAGAGTTTTTAAGCAAGTGTTACGCATACAAGTAGCTGAGGAACGAGGAGCTTGATGCACCCCGTACCTAGGTGAGGTCCACCGCAATCGAGGAAGTAGTAGTATTGTTCTTTCCCTTCTGTAGAAGCTGTCTTTAACGCCATTTCTGTTTGTATTTGCCTTTATTCCTTCAATGTTGGTGCGTATTTCAACGGTTTGGTATTCTTTTCGAAAGGAATAAAGCAGCTCCAGTTTTGTCTTGGAGGGCTCCAGTTCAAACTAAATGTTCTAATCCATACTTTATCGTTCCTTGTTTTCTCCAGCTGCAGTCATTTGCATTCGGTTTGAGCAAGCGTGATGTATTTAATACCTGTTTCTTCCCCTCCACGAAATCAAACACTTCAGAATATTGTGTTCATCCGTGTAATTGTAATATTTTGTAAGCTATTCCCTTTTTAGGCCCGTGTTTTTCCCCCTCCAAGAAATCAAATGTTCGCAATTTTATGGGTCGTTAACATCGATACGAGGGAGGTGTGGGAATTATGGACTTTGAAGAAGAGAAATAGCTTCCTGGTTGACCGACCGATGAGAAGAAGTTCGTGCGAGAGCCACGACTCATCAGCACGTACGGTAGCTAAAGAAAACAACCAGTCTATTTTTTTTTTTTTTTTAGACTCTTAAAACCCCGTTCAGGAGGAACACCCAACCGACATTCTCAAGGGTTCACGCTGAGAGTGTTCACAGGAGTAGACGAGGGGTGGGACCACGAGGGGTGGCGGGGGGCACAGGGAAATCAAACACAAACCTAAAGACTAATTTAATCGAGGCCCACGAGAAAAAGGAGCAGCGGAGGACGGGCCGGGGGGGCCCAGGTCGCTATCATCAAGAGATCTACTAGAAAATTCTGTTGGCATCAAGAGATTTGAGTGTTGGGATTGAGGAGGACCCAGGAAATTTTAGGAACCCAATGTACGGGATGTCAGAGACAAACGCGGTGAGTTTTGGGGATTGTGGCCTTGTTAACGTAGGACAGGCTTCACTCATCGCTAGGCATCCTCATCAATTATTTCACTGCCGGGGCCTGTTGGATTCGAAGCAAGTCTCATCAAACCTCACTCTGCTATAATTACACGCACGCATGTGGACAGCAAGCGAGCGAGCGAGCGAGGTTTAATGACACAGTACTAGACACGGATACAAGGTCTGCGTGCATGTCTCAGACTAAATTGACACAGGGCAAGATTCCCTTCATTTTTGTTGGGCCTGGAGAAAGATTCCTGATGAAGAGCAAGGGACAACATTCCCTTCGTTTTTGTGGGCTACTCTCTCTCTCTCTCTTTTGAAGTTCAAGAAAGATGGGCCTCTCGTTCTCTGAGCGGAATTCTTTTAAACGAGAGCAGAGCGTTCAAAATTGCGGATTTGGTCCTTGCTGCCGTTGAATTCGTAAGCCGAGTAGAGCTCTCTGTTTTCTGAAACAATAAGATGAAGCTTGGAGCGCTTTATGCTTCACTGTTGAGTAGCTGTCTCTTTGGCAGGGCTACTGTCAGACAAGAGAACCAACAGGGGATGGGGTCACTTGGTGATAAAGGATTTGAGGCTTTATTAAAAGCGAGTGCTGGCCACTATGAGAAGTTGGAATTGAGAGATGAGGGCTTGTAAGCAAAGAAATCTTCTTATTAGAAAAAGAAAGTAATTGGTTGGTCTGAGAGAAGGTTTTATTATTGTCCCTCCCTCCCTCTCTCTTTTATTTTTTTTCTAAAAGTGTCATGAGGGGGGGATGTAGTTGATTGCATGTCTCCTTGAAGTCTCTCTCATGTCTTTCTTTTTAAAGGACCTTGGTGTTATTTTAATCCTTCAATTCTCTCACCAAACCAAAGTTCCCCAACACTTGATCTATTCTTTACTTGCAAACTTCAGGCCCTACTACTCCTTCCTAACTTTGGCTCTCTCTCTCTCTCTCTCTCCCCCCTTCTCTAGAAGTCTTTGGTGTCATAAATATGTCACTTTTATTTCAACATCAGATCTTTATTCTACTTCCTTCCCTATGTTATGTATGATCGGTCCCCATGGGTATCACTTGATCTCATCTTCTTGAACAATATTAATGTATTGTCGACGTGTGCGAGCTATCGCCTTCAACTGTGTATTATTAGCAGGCTACTTGTTTAAATATTTCTGACCAAAAAAAAAAAAAAAAAAAAACCCGACAAAAAAAAAAAAAAAAAAACATCCCTATTTGATTAAATAGTTACTTGTTAGGAGGAAAAAAAAAAGGGATCTGATAGCTGAGTAACTGCTCTTATTTGCTCTGTTTCTTTCCTGGCCTAGTTCCAGCTGATGACCAACCTTTGTTCCCAGTGCTGGGTCATTTTGGATGGTACCAAAATTAAGAATGACGTGGGAGGTTGAGCTAACAAGATGTAGTGTCCAAATACAAGCAAGGAATTTAATAGAAAGGAGCAGTAGTAGTTTGAGGGTCATGGTCACTGGCTCTGCATGTGACCATCACACTGTAACTCAATATAGCAGGACAGTCTTTCCAAGGATACCGAGCCTAAATTTTTCTTTTTTGCCAAATCAATGCTATACGGTTTGAACCTGAGCTGCCTAGTAATCTTGGAAATTAATTTTTTTACATTTCCAATAGGTAGATTTCTAGAATTAAAAGCTTAATGTGAAAGTCATTCACCCCAACCACCCGGCAGGTGCTTGGAAGGAGAAGACTTTGTTGGGTTTTTGTCTTGGTACATAGCCTTTGATAAATATTGGGTTTTTGTGAAGGGAGGTTAATTGGAAGGATAATTAAGCTCACATTCTTCCTATTAAGTTTAAAATCCAATATAAGGGGATTAATTGGAAGCACTCTAGTCAGATAAGGAGTCCAGAAAGCAGGGAGAGGAAATGGAGCCAACCATAATTAGGCCAAACAATGCAAGTAATCCGACTGGCAATTTGTGGGGGCTGGTTCCTTACGCCACATGGCCATGCCCCCTCGGTTTAGTTTGATTTTCAAACACAGTTAGTCCTTTGAAGCTTCAAGTATAGCCTTCATTCCTCAAACGAGATGGGAGGCGAACGGAGCTCCCCAACTTCCTCTATAGACAGCAGCAGCCATCCATGTCTTTCTTCTACATCTGTGTCCCGAGCACGAGGAGATTTGAGCACAGATTTGAAGCTTGGTCTTAGCATATCGACATCCTCCTTGCAGGGTGATGCGAGGTATGAGGATTGAAACTGAAGAGCCTTAGCAATTTTTTTTTTTTTTGCTTCCTGTTGTTTTTATCATGCGCATACATAACAACGGCCTTATGTTCTTGCTTCTTTTCTGTTTTTTCAACAATCGGGTGATAGAAGGTGATTCTTTTTGTCTTTAATTTGCCCTTAAAAAGTTATTCTACGGTTTCGCATATGTGCTTCCCTCCGTTTCTTTTCATGACCGACCATGTTTCTTTAGTTTTAGAGATTTCTCTTTCTGAATCATATGGGACTAGCACCTCCACATCCTGTCTCAGTTCCCTGTTGAAAGTTTGAATTACGTGCTGCCTTCATTCATATAGCTCGGGCTCTCATGATACTTCTTTTTGCTGAAATTCTGGGTTCTCGCTGTTCACTTTTGATCGCGTGATTCGACTCCTAAATCAGTTCAAGATTTTTCCTATTGTCTGCTTCATGTCATCTTTCATTTACCAAAAGGAATTTTCTTTGGGTGGCGTCATGCAATTATTTTTCTGTGTTTAAGTTCACCTTGTTTGTTTTCCATTTCGAGGACATTTGTCATCAAGCTAAAGACCCTCGAGCCTGCGCTGTTACAGTAATAATGATAAACATCAGCAGCATTTCCCTGCGTCCAGCAATTTTCAAACATGACCATTGTGGCTACTCTGTTACATTAATAACGATAAACATCAGGAATGTTCCTGTGCCCTGCAATTTTCAACTCATGGCCGTCTCCATATTCCCTACTTATGTGCTCGAGATTATTTGTACTCTAATGTAACTGCACTAATTTTATTGTCTAAAAATCGAGACATTTCCCTATTTTAATTTCTATTCACTCTTGTTGGATAGTAGAGCACAAGCCAAGCACAAACCTGCTACTCCCTTGATTAATTGCTTCAAGTTACCGCAGTCTCTGGCCTTCCCCCATAGTCTTGGCTACCAGAGAGTTTCTGTTTGTTCTGTGATGTCCTTAATCATTCAATTCACACTTTACATTACAAATAAGCTTGCACTTCTTTTTCAATTAGATATAACGAACATACCTTGTATCTTCGATAACCATATATAGCTCTAGTTCCATCATTAGTCATGATTACTAAAAAAAATCAAGATTTATGATGCCCATTTCTATATTTCTATCATCTTCTTCTGTATCTGTGTGAAAACTCCTTAACGTGTTTATTAACTGTACCATGTAAGAGAAGCTAATAATAAATAAATCAAGGTGCTGTTCTAAATTTCCCTTTTTATGTCCCCTCTTGTTGAGGAATAGATCACAACTCTCCAACTGGCCACCGATAAAGCCATTACTGAGGAGCACGCTAACAGGAAGAGGAAATCCCCTAAATCCACCAACCTTATTTGTGAAGGTCTACATGGAGGGAATCCCCATCGGCAGGAAGTTAGATCTCTATTCGTTTAACAACTATGATGGTCTCATGCAAACACTTCGCCTCATGTTTAAGACGACAATAATTTTGAGTAAGCAAAAGAGAAGTTCTATTTCATCTGGTCACAAGGTTTTAAGCACATAAACCGGAATATCCATAACTCTTCTTTGCTTTGTTTTGGTGTATGGGGGCAGCTCCTGAACTTGGTCCTGTGTCATCTACGAAGATTCATGTGCTCACATACGAGGACAAGGAAGGAGACTGGATGATGGTTGGAGATGTTCCGTGGGAGTAAGCTTTTACCTTCCTGCTTCACACTCTGCCATTATGCTCTTGATATTGTTAAAATCTTTACGTATTTTTAACGTTCTGCATTCTTTTTTTGTGCAGACTTTTCTTGACCGCTGTTAAGAGATTAAAGATCACCAGGGCAGACAGATGCTAGTGTTCATGCCCTTCCTAATTTTGCTGCCAAAATTACAGAAAGAAGAGTGCAGGTGCATAGGAATATAGGATATAATTCTTTTGTTTTTTGTTTTTTAAAGTTTCCCTCCTACCAATATTGCCATTTAACTTTCTACTCCTACAGACCCTTTGCTTCTCTTAATTGGATGTACCCTCCTCACTGTGATATTACAGAAATAAATCTGGTAAAGAAAAAAAAATGAAGTGAGAATTCTAATCTTTTGCTTTAATCTGGCAAGTTGTTGTGGTAGATATGCGTTGTGTAGATCCATCTCTCGCTGAATGGCAGAAAACACCCCTGTGCCCGATTTCCGGGTTGGCATTGGACTTAAAAAGAATAGGATGGGCAACAATAAGAAATTACTGGCAGTGCTGTAACAAACAAACAAACTGAGACACTTTTCAAGAGGCGAGCTACGTGACCTCCATGCTCTTTCCTCAAAGAGGTCAAGGTCTCCACGCTCTTTCTTCTTGCAGACACGCAGCACATAGAAATGTGTGCTCCTTCGATGAACAATCTTGTACCTGAATCGGCCAGTTTCCTCTCTACTGGATCCGACTACTGGAAACCAATCGCGCTTCTTCCTCCTGGTTTAAGAGGGGGGCGTGCACGCGATGCACGCATGATACAGTACACTCATGCACAATACAAATTTTATTTTATTTTATTGCTGACGTGATAGTTGATTCTAACATAAATAAGTGTGTGTCATGCCTCTGTGCGTTAAAAAGCTAGGCGAAAGTAACCAAGGCCCGTTGAGCACTCACGAGGACAAAATCTCTGCGTGACATCTCATAAGCATTTGTTCTCGTA